TGTGTATAGGCATTCCTTGTCAATAGTATGGTTATAAAACTCACATAGAGTATTAAAAACACAATGATTTACGGGGTTTTTCAGACGTATTGGAAATTTTATACGTACATACATTTACTAGAAACAAACATTGGTCTTGAAAGAAGGCTACATTTATACTAGTAGAAAATATAGGATTTTCTAGGAACAAGCAAACAAGGAACAAAAACATTTCATTTCATACAAACATTGTCATTAAATACTTATGAAACTCACCAGCTTAAATGTTGATCTACTCTTTCAAAACTACTTGTATGTCCCAGGGATTCAGTAATTACAGGTAACAAACGGATTTTGGAGAAGGGACGTTGCGGCGCCAGTTTAATTTCATATTTTGACATCATATTGTAATTGATTTTGAACATGTACACTTTTAAACAATGTAAACTTTCAATTATATATATGATGGTTGTATTGCTTTCTTTACTATGTATTCATTTGTTACGTTACCACATGAAGTCATCCGCCCCCGAACGTTTCCGTCGTTCCGGTTTGGAGGTGTGACAGTGTAGTATTGGGTGAGCACCGTGGCACTTGTGGTAGTGTCATGGCAGCCAAGTGGATCTCCTAGGTAAGGAAAAAGGAAAGGGACGTGGCTCCGAGAGGGAGTGTAAGTCACGGAAGTGAAGTCAGTAATGCGAAGTTATGATTGAAGTGTTTCAATTATGATTATTGCGCAGTGTGTGCGGCGGTGATATGGAATCACATCCGGTTTGGATGTCTGCCGAGGTCACGGAAGGAAATTCCGAGGGTGTAACTCTTAAGGGATGCAGAGATGGAGTCTTGGATTCCCAGCTCGATTTCGGTTAAGAAATTGTGTATGTAGTGGTAATTCATCCTGGGGGATGTTTGGAGGAATTGTTAGTGTATCGGGTTTTCCCAACCCGGGGATGCTAGAGCCAGTTCAGCATGGGTATGAGATTGCGGAGGGGAACTCATGAGAGTTGTTATGAGATTGAGGAATGCATCATCCTGTCAGCATGGAGTGGGTAAAGTGAAATCAGATCGGGATTCTGGTGGTTCAGGGATTAATTCTAGCTCACATGACTCAAATGATTGTTGTGAATTGGAGCGAGCGAAGTATCAAGGAGTGGTACTAGGTGGTTAAGTGTGGTTATCAAAGGATGAGGCCGGTGGCCAGCTTGAAGCGGTCGTCAGGACACCGCAAGAAGGAAAGTTGGGTTTTGGGTTTCGATGGTTGTGTTTTGAAGAATTTGGTTTGGTTAATGCCAGCAGGTGCATTGCAAGAGTAGTTCTGAAGTTGTGTTGCCGTAGGCTTCGAGGACGAAGCCTAATTTAAGTGGGGGAGAATTGTAACATCCCGAGTCCAGGAGTGCAAGTTCGGGGTTCAAAGTGTAAAATTTGAAGGGAAACTCGGCGAGTCCATGGGTGGACTCGGCGAGTAGGGTCACGACTCAGGTCGCGTGTTAAGTGGCCAACTCGGCGAGTCCAAAGCTGGACTCGGCGAGTAGGCGCTATGCGAAGAAAACCCTAATTTCGGGGGATGAGCCCTATATAAAGGACATTATACCCTCTCCCCAGCCTCCTTACCTTCCCTTGAAGTCCAGAAAACCCTAGAAACGTGATTGTGAAGGATTTGAGTGCATTTGAGCCTTGGAGAAGAAAGTTAGAGGAAGATCTTGGAGGGTTAGGAGGCTTGGAGCAAGGGGCTTTGCTTAGATTCGGATTCCTTGCTGTTGGGGGCTTCTCTTTGAGGTATTATCTCGTTTTTGGGCTGCTATTCATGTAGATTCCTCATTTTTGGGTTGTATGGAAAGTTTGGATTGTGGTATATAGAGTTTGAAGGTTAGATCTGAGGTTGCTACCTCAGATCTGGAATGGAGAAGGTCTAGAGTGCATTAAAGTCCCTGTTATTGAGTGATTGGTGAAGCCATCTTGTCCCAAACCCTAGCCTTAGAGTGTAAAATACCTAGATCTCTTTGGATTCACGTAAAGTTTGCCACTTTATATGATGGAAGGGTTGTAGAAGGGTAGATCTACGTTTTGGATCAATTGCATGGCCTGAAAGGCTTCTGTAAGGGTTAAGGGACAAGTGGTACTCGGCGAGTTGCTTGAAGGCGAGCAAGAACTCGACGAGTTTGAAGAACAACTCGGTGAGTTGGTTGAAGATAGCCTTGGACTCGGTGAGTCTGTTCTTAGACTCGGCGAGTCTGTTCTTAAGGTCTTAGCCTTTCCTGGTTAAGCTAAGAATCGGTGAGTCAAGGGATGACTCAGTGAGTTGGAAGGGGGTCCTTTTCAGTGTTGGGGGACTCGGTGAGTCAGCGAGCTGACTCGGTGAGTAGGGTCAGCCAGAAGGTTGACTTTGACCAAGAGTTGACCAGTTGACTTCTAGGGCATTTTGGTAATTGTTGGCTTTTGTTTTGAGTTCAGTGTTGGTGCTAGCCAGTGGTGGAGATCGTGTCAGTGGTCGGAGCATCTCGATCTTATCTTTCCAGTCAGCAGTTGCGAGGTGAGTTATCCTCACTATATCAACAGGGTCTAAGGCACCAAGGCCGGCCCTTTATCGGATTGTAATCCGGGTATTGTTGTCTGTTTTACTATGTTTGCATCCTGGTAGTTAGGATGGTATTCGTTAGAGACCTGGTTAAGGTCGGTATCCTGGTATATAGGGTGATGCTATGCTAGTGACCGGTTAGGTCGGTATCCTGCTTAGAGTATGTTGTGTTACGTGATCTGCTAGATCGGTTTGATTGAATATGAATTGTTATATGATTGTATGTTTATGTGCACATGGTTGTTTGACTGGGGTTGGGTTGAGGCGGGACCTGCTTTGTGCTGTAGGCCAACATACCCAGGGCGGACCGGTTATTCCGAAGGCCCAACGAGCGGTCCGGATAGGCTGTAGGCCCCACGAGGGCGGACCAGACGTGCCGAGGCTCGGAGAGTGGACCAGGCCGACTGAAGGCCCGGTGCGGGCGGACCAGTCATACTGTAGACTCAGAGAGTGGACCAGGTGGATTGAAGGCCCGGTGCGGGCGGACCAACCACCTGCAGACTCGATGTATATGGCTAGACGCGGAGGGTGGACCAGGTGGACTGTTGGCCGGTGCTACGGACCAGTCACACAGTAGACCCGATATGCATGGTTGTTCTGGGATTCGATATGATATAGCATGTTATGTGTGTGGTATATGTGGTTGGTATTTTGGGGGTATCTCACTAAGCTTTCGGGCTTACAGTTGTGGTTTAATGTTTTTCAGGTTCTTCAGGAGACCGTGGCAAGGCAAAGGCGTGATCGTACCGCTCCTCGTGTTTATGTTTTATGATATGGACCTGGGAATACTCTGATAATAAATGTATTGAAAACCTTTTTGTAAACGTGATTAAAATGGGTTGTTTTTTGAAAAGTTAAATTTTGTTGAAATTTTTTGGTCATTACA